ACTCACAGGAGTGTGTAGAAGGGGGTGGGCCAGAGCCAGCTCCCTCCCCCCAAATTGCTAGGTTCTCTCCTGGGCTGGTCTGTGAGCCAGAGGCCAAGGGAGCTGGCGCTGCCTTGACTTGTAGGCTGACCCTTACTTTGTTTGGAACCAGGTTTCTTTTTGCCCTGCAAGGGGTGGGTACAAATGTTCCAAAGAGCTCATGTTGGTGGCTGTGATGTCAGGGCCTGACGTATAGGAAAGAAGCTGCAGAAGCAGCAGGAATGTATTCTCTCCAGAACAGGTCAGGTCCCCTCTACAGGGTCTCAGCCTGAAGTCAGGCAATCCATGGGCTTGGCTCAAGGAGTGGTGGGTATAGCTTTGTAGTTGATGCTACTATTAATTCCACAGCAATATATGGTTTGGGTGGTGGCCCTCAGAGCAGGGCACTGTGGCTTGGCTGGTCTAGAGTCCATAACAGGGGTAAGCAGAGCAGCTACAGAGGACGGGTCACCCTCTCAAACTGCTTTTCCTCTAGGAGGAGACATCCATCTGCCAGGGCCTGGGATGCCAGGGCCACCAAGCTATTGGGCTCCACAAACCCAAGGCAGAGCTATATAGAAATAAGTCTGCATTGAAACCTCAGGCTAGAGTTCAGACATTCAAATGAGTGCTGCCATTTGAGGCAGACCCTTGGGAGTCTGTTCCAACCATGCTCCAGTACTTCCAGAATTCCTCTTTGGAAATCACCTTTGGGGCCCATCTTGAGCCAATATCGACTGTTCTCCTAACCTGTAGCCTCTACTTTTCACTGGAAGTGGTGGTGTCCAACGTGGTGACCCACCTTACCCTCCATGCCTGGCTTTGAGTGGGTTTGGGCTATTTCCACACATCGAATTCCTTTCAAGGAAAGGACACTTAGTTCACAGAAGGGATTCACAAGAATGTGCTGCAGGCTGGGAAGGTGGCTTCCAGAGAGCAAGCCTAAAGGAGTTTGTAGCTACTTTGCAGAGGGCGGGGCTTGGTTGGTTCAGTTCTGGGATGTTGTTAGGAATGAGGCTGGTGTGATCCTCCTCCATTTCTGGGTAACTGGAAGAGAGGAGCTGCACCTTGGACTTTGTTCAGAGTGCCTGTGAGCAAGAGTGGGGGGGCACACCCAGGCTTCCTCTGCTGGGGACTCAGGGCCTTATCAGCTCTGGCTCACTGTGGCCCCAGGGCGCAGCGTTCCTAAGTTCCAGCTGGTGATCTTGGCCTACTCTCCTTCCTAGGCCTCAGCATTTCAGGTGGTAACAAGGGAATGGACTCCTTCACCTCTGCCAGCGTCTCCAGGTACAGTGAGGAGAGAAACAGCATCTGTTCTAGCTAAGGAGCCACTCATTATTCATGGAGTGCCTAATGTAAGCACCAGGCTATGGGCTGAGCATTTCACATACAAGATCTCTTCGCCACAAACCTGCAAGGTAACACTGTTATTGTCCCATTATGCAGATGAGGAAACCAAGTCAAGCATCAAAGAAGGGGTAGACCCATGTCTATCTGACCGAGACCCTGATGTGAACATGGCTGCAGTTGGCTGTCACCTCCCACCACCCACATTTCACTGTTCTCAGGCCCACCCAAGGCACTTTGGGGAAGGATCTATCCTAGAATCATGACATTGAGGCAGAGGTACGCCCCTGAGCTCTATATCATTTAGACAGGTACCCCTAGTACTGTCACCATCAGTCACAGAGTGGCCCACAGAGGACCCCGTCACCTTCAGAGCTGGGCCCTCCCACCTACACATCTGCAGCAGGGCTGCCTGACCTCTTAATACCCCCTTGGGAACTGGCAGCCCACACACCCTTCCTGTAGAACCATGTGCTTCTTGGCTCCTGGATGAGAATAGCGTGGACAGAAGCCAGCCTCTCATCAGAGTATTCTCATCAGCCGGAAAGATTTTTCTCAAACTTAACTTTCTGGAATTTAACTATAAAATTATATTATTCAGTCACTTATTCAAAAGTATTTATTGTGCATTTGCTCTGCTCTGGGCTCTGTGAACCGTGGTGAACAAAACAAGATCCTTGCTCTCATGTAGTTTAGCTGACGTTTTCCAAATAGATGTTGCTAGATGGCTCGCTGACCTCACTGCCCGCCAGAAGAGATGGTGACACACATCATGGGGCACTCACTCATGGGACTCCCCTCTGTCCCTGCCCAAACTGCAGTCCCTCAGTGGCATTCCCAACAGAAGCCTGTCCCCTGTCTGTGACCTGCTCAAATGAGTTCAGTTATGGGGAGTTCTTTCCCTTTCCCACGACCCCTGTCCTCTGTCCCCTTGCTGCTCATCCTTTGTGTAGAGCTGAGCTCTGTCCTCCCTCAGCCTCCACCAGGGGACCAGGCCTGCCATCTGCCCCTCTTTGCATGACATGAGAGGCAGGAAAGATGGTACTCCAGCACCCTTTCCTGGCCCCCCAAAATACACTGGGGGAAGGGCCTGAAGAGGATTCGCTTTTTTGCCCATTTGTCACCTGCAGTGTGGGTAGGTCCTAGACCCAGGCTGTGGCCCTTTGCCTGAGGACTGTAACATCTGCCCAGGGTCACTGTGCTGAAGTGTGGCGCATCCCCAGGATGCTGAGCAGCAGTCTGAGGTCCTGCTGTCCTACTACACTGGCCTAGAGAGAGAAGCTAAGTGTGCAGGGCAGGGGGCACTGTGCACATAATAGGCCAACATGTCTGGGCTCCCCGCCCTTGTCATCACTCCCACACTATAGGTCCCAGGGAATCCTCAGGGGAGAGATAATAGGGCTGTTGTTGAAAAGAATATGATAATAAAGCTCATTCAATCACTTGTGTCAACACTCCAGTTGAATGAGAGGCCAAAGAGTCAGGCTGGCCAGCCAGAGAAGGTCAATATTGACTCAGGCCCACCTCTCGGCCCAACTCCAGCCTGTACACTCAGCGCTGCAGTCCAGCAGTGGCTCAAGCCAGACCAGTCATCTGACCTCTGTTCACGCTACTTAGCATCTTAAACCCATCCCTGGTTGGTCTACAGCACTGGGCCTTCCTGGGCATGGGGTTATCTCCAAGGGAAGAGAGAAAAATGGCCTTCCTGGGAGGTCTGCAGACCAGGCACCTCTTCACCAGGCCAGATTTTCAACAGCCTCTGAATGCAGAGGCCTGAGTCCTTATCACAGAACCCTCAATGCCTAGTCAGAAAGAACCTCTGGAGTCCCCTACTCACAAGATTAGGTCCCCAATCTCTCCTCTCTCTCCCTCCCTACCTCCCTCTCTCTCTTTCTCTATCTTTTTTTTTTTTTACAGACTTTAGCTTTCTATATTTATTTTTTTTACCTCCTCACTTTATGCTCATAATACCACTGTGACTTGGGCCAAATCTGCTTTACTGGGTGCATTTTAAAGAAGGCAGACAGCTGGGGAGAGGAAGGAGGAGACGAGACAGGGAATATACACATATACATGTATAAAGTACCCAGCACATGTCAGGCACTGCGTTTGGTGCTTTCAATTGGTGCATTTAATGGTCACAACTCTATGAGGTAGATAGTATGAGCTCTGTTTTCCAGGTGAAGAAAACGAGACTGAGAGAGAAGTAATTGTTGGAGACGTGACGTGCGGAGCTGGGATTGAAATCCAGATCTCTCCAACTCCAAGCTCCAAGCTCCTTTATCATGTCCAGAGAAGTTAAATGACCTGTCCCAGATTACACCACTACTGAGAGACAGGACTGGAAGCTTCCAGCCAAAGGCTCCCTCTACCCCAAAAATGGCTATGTCCAGGGTCACCCATGAACATGTGACCACGTATGAAATGTACAGAACGTGCTACAGTTTCTGCCTTGGAAGTTGGATCTCCTTCCAGAAATGGCCCCTTCCCTGGGGTCACCTCACTACCTGCCCCTAATGGACCCTCTGCCTTTACTGTATTCCCATTGCTTTGCTCTAGCAACTTCCATAATCTCCTGCCACATAGTCAGATCATTCTCAAAGTTCTCCAAGACAGGGGGGCTCAGGTAGCTTCACCTTTTCCAATACTAGCAAATGAAGGCGGGGGGTGGGGGGGGTGGGGGGCGGTGGCCCACTGCTGGGCTGTTCTCATTTTCTCATTTATCACTGTGAGGCCTCACAACTATCCTGTGAGGAAGGAATGATCCTTCTCCCCATTTTATAGATGAGGACATTAAAGTTTGGAGAGAAGTAAAGCAAACTTGCCTAAGGAATCAAAGTCAGGATCCAAACCCAGCTCCTTCTGGTTCCAAGTGCTGTATTCTCAGCCACTGTCCTACACATGGCCTGAGAACTCACAGCATTGCAATATATGTGGCACAAGCCACAAAAGACCTGACCACAGACAAACCGGAGCCCCTTCCCCTCTCCCACCTAGAAAAACAAGTCAAAGGTACCGAAAAGAACACCAGAAATGGGCAAGATACAAAAAACACAGCCTACACCCTGGGAACTCTTCATGTCTTAGCTCTTAGTGTGTTCCTAGCAACATCTACACCCCAGGTTGGATGCCGCACATTGGGAGCCGGAAAAGCTGGAGGGATTTTAGTAGGTTGGAGATCTGGGAAATGAGTTGGCAGGCTGGGGTGTGCTGAGCAGCACCTCTGCCTGGGGCTGCTTCCTGGCCTGCTCAGCATAGGTGCGGGATGTGCTACTGCCTTTCCTGTTGGGGAGCCACTTTCCCCAGCAAGAAATCAGTGCACAGCTTTGGTGACACTGCCTTACCCCCAGACAGGCATCAGACTTGATGACAAGCAGAGGCTGGGCCAGTAGGCAGGGAGGAGTATTTGAAGCCCTGCTGCCTGCTATGGGCCACGGTTGTGGACGTAACAATGTACATCTGCTAAGGATTGAGAAATGGCACTTAGAAGGGACCACTGCACTGCCCAACAGTACCAAGAATGAGCCAGCCCAGGGGGGCCACTGGCCTGCCCACTGTCCCTTCGAGCCTGTTCCTCAAGCTGGTCTCTAGAAGGCTCATGGGCATCCTCCCAGGGTTGGAGGTCCCTCACTCACCTCAGGCCTGCCTTCCTCGCCTCCTCTTCCTCCCAACTCCTCACTCGTCAGTGGGCAGAGCTTTCAGGCACCAGAAGAAGGAAGACTAAAGACCTTCCCGGCCAGTCCTCCAAGGCCTGGGTGGAAACAGATCAGAAATTCACTGTGACAAATGCGATAGATAAGTGTCCCGCGGATTTTGCGAATGGACCGAATCCAGAAAATCTGGAACCGCCCCACGCCCGCCCCACGCCCACCGCCACCTGACTTAGCCACCTTCTCAGGTGCAAGGGGAGGTGGAGGGCTCCCCGCGGGGCGCATGGGGAGGAGCGCGCAGTGGGCACAGCGCTTCCGGCCCTTCTGCCCGCCGCGCTCCGAGTTACAGCGGCCAAGGGGCCCCACCTCACAAGCTCGAGTGGGGTGGGAATCCCCCAGCCCGTTGAGACGCTAGCGCCAGGCGCACACGCGGAGGTAGGTCCTGTTCTGGAAACAGCCGAAGCTCTCCGTCCCTGCTCTCAGGCCTCTCGGCCTGGAGCGGGTGGCCCCGAACTTCGGGGAATGAAAACCCGCGCCTTTTGCCTCGTCCCGGCCACAGTCCGAGGAGGTTAGCCAGCCTGCAGCAGTGGCCGGGGCACCCACCTGTGAGCAGAAAGATCCCGGAGTACTCCAAGAGGCCGCGGGAGCTGGATCCGCCCTCCGCGGGAGGGACCTGGGCGCGGGGAACGGCAAGGAGAGGCCGCGCTTACAAGTTTGTGCAGCGCCGGCTTCACCTGGCCGCGAGTTTGATTTCAGGGTGTGGCCTCAGGTAGGGCACCGCGAAAAGTCGCGGGAAAAGTCGCCGAGGGGCGCAGGGGGCCAGGAGCCTCTCTGCACGGGGGGGCGCCTCCCTGCTCAACCCTTTCCATCTAACCTGTCGGCTCCAGCTTCCTCCGGCCCATCGCCTTGGGGCCCTGATCCTGGTCCAGCCCGCTGTGACCTGCCGGTGTCCCCAAGGTCCCTGGGCTGCCTTGCAGGGGCCTGACCTGGACTATCCTCTGAGCGCCTCTCGGTGTAATTAACTCCTTAATTTGCATTTGCAGATGCTCACTTTGGAGGCCAGGGGCTGCCTCCTTCCGGATCCTAGAGGTGCTGCTCCAGGGGTGGGGGCGCCCACCCGCACACCCTGGAGAGCCCCAGCTAGAGTCCTGCCACATGCCACCTCAGCCTGTCTGTCCCATCTGGACAAGGCTCCGAAAGTGGTTAAGGAACTAGCCCAAGTCTTATAGTTACTGGGTGGTGGGGCCAGAATTTCAACCCAAGCTTATGTGCCCCCAGCCTGTTCTTTTGGGGTAGCCCCCTGGTGCAGGCAAGAAAGCAGGATTTAAAGAGATTCCAATTTCCTTGTCAAATCTTGCTCAGTTCTGAGAACCCTCTGGCCTCAGGATTTTGGGGTAGAAGACCTCTAGGGAAAAGAAAGCTTCCAGGACCCTGCACCCTCAAACAGAATGGGGCCCAGCTCCAGAAATGGCATCTCCTGGTTGTCCCCAGCAGTGCCCTGGCCTAGAAGCAGAATGGCTGTTCAGAGTGGCTCAATCCTGACTGCCCTTTGCCCTGCTTTTTTCTGGATTGAAGGCTGGTTTGTCCTGTGTATATACATCATGGAGAAGAGGCGGGGCCACCTGTCTGTCTCCTCCCTAAACAAGGAAGTGAGAAGACCCTGTTGTCCTAGACTTGGGCCCCTGGAGATGGACATGTCAAACTGAGCGCTGAGGGGATTCTGGCTTGGAAATTCAGTGCACCTGGACCCCAAATGGCTGCCCCCAAGCAGTGGTTGGGTGACTATCAGTGTCGCAGAGCAGGCACCAAGGACAGTGCAGGGATGTTTGTCATTGTTGGTCACCTCAAATTTAGGTATTAACTGAGGTCTCTATTACCATGTGTCATTTTTGTTCACTGATTCTTTAGATAGATGAATGCAATTTATAGATACAGCATTTGCATATGGCCTCTGTTGCTTATGCACATTTTACTCGAGGCTCCAACCAAACAGAGCTAAGGTGCCAAGTGGCAATTACCCAGCCCCAAACAAGCCTGAACCCTGTCTGGCTGCACCACAAGCCCCATGTCCTCAGCCTTCCTGGGGCAAGTATGGTGGTGCCCAGTGCTTGCCCTGGAAGCCCCCAGAGAGTGATGTGGAAGCTGGGGCAGCTGCAGACAGGTCTCTGTTCCCCTCCTCACCCTCTATCTTCCCTCCTCCTCTCTGTGTCTTTCCCAAGCTGATCCCTCTGACAAGACAACACTGTAGGCCTGACCTTCAGCCAACCCCTGACCTTCTGTTGGTCCCCCAGGAAGCTGCCTGCTGAGCCTAGGATGAGGGGCCATGTAGTGGGGAGGGGGCAGGTGATACAAGTGACTTTCCCCAGGGATTACCCAGGGACAAAGGAGCACTGGCTGAATGCTGGCTGTGGGAAGTGGGTTATGCTAGGTGGGTGTAGAGGCAGGGGTACGTGGGGGGAATTGGTTGCAGAGGGTTTGAAATGAACCATGAACCAAAGCTAGAATGAAATGCATAATATTGTTGAACCTAAAATCAACATCTTAAATTATTTTTTACTGACTCACAAATTCACACATAAATTCTTTTCTTTTCATACAAATACCTTACATACCAAAACCGCAGCTTCAAACAGTATTTTTGAACTGTTGAACTATGATACAATGAGAACATTAGAATATTATCAGAAATGAACTGGTATTTAATTTGGTTTGAACCCAGGCTTGGGTATCCCACAAAGGCTCCTAGCCAAGTCCCATTCTCACCCTGCAGAGAGTGAGTCTAGGGAACCCTGGCGTCCTCCCACCTTTGGGAACTGCAGTGGGGTTTGCAGAGAGGCAAAGACTCCCTGATAAAACTGACCAAAGAGGTCATGCATCCCCCATCACTGGAGGTATTCAAGACCCCAGGTAACTATCAGTCAGATATGCTAGTGAAAAGGTTCCCATACTGGATACTGGGCTAGACCAGGGGACCTCTTGGGCCCATCACAACTCCAAGTTTCTGTACTTCCAGTCACATCTACAGATGGGTCAGCTCTACCATGTAGGATGACCCTCTGCAAATTGGAATGGCTGGGATGTGCAGAATGGGTCCTGAGTGATTAATTCTTATGTGTGACTCCCCCCGCCCCCCACCTTCTCTATCCTCCTCTGATTCAACTCAGCCCTGTGCAGGAGGACAGGGCAAAACAGCAATGCATGAGGTGGCAGGAAGTCTGGGGGACGGTGTCTTCTCCAGCGTCCATGTGCCTCCCTCTGGCCCTGTTCCCAGGTTGCTGTGCCAGGCACAGGGAGAGGGATCAGGCACACCTCCCTCTGAAGAGCCCTGGCAGCTGGCAGAGGCCTTCTGGTTGAGGGAGTTGTCCATGCACTGCCATGCTACAAACTGGGCAGGAGCTCCGGATAGGGACACTGAAAATTGACATTTCACCAAGAGCAATGACACTTGGAGCCCTGCCAGCTCTGGAGTATTAGGCAACCAGAACTGTCTAGGAGGACATCAGGGCGGGCACATTGGGTAAGGCAGGCTCTTCCCAGCTTTCTCAGCCTGTGGCTGTTGGGGCCTGTTACAACATCTAAGCACCAGTTAGGGCCAAAGAGGAAAGATATGGATCGATTTGTGGTTTAGAAACACAAACACATTATCCTTTCCCTTTACCTTTCTGCTTCGTGACTTGAAACACTGCCTGGGGATCAGGAACGCTGCTGACAAACTCACCCGGCTCCTTCTAGGGCTCCCTTCTCTGGATGACTCTGCCCTCCTCTAATAATAGTAATAATAATGGCTGCCAATTATTGAATGCTTCCGATGGGCCAGGCCTCATGCTAAGCTATTTCCACATATTATCTCAATCAAGTCTTCACCACAACCTTGGCACAGAAAAACAATGCTATTATTATTCTCATTTTACAGATGAGGAAACTGAGGCTCAGAGTGGTTAAGGAACTAGCTCCAAGTCCTATAGTTACTGAGCAGTGGAGCCAGAATTTCAAGCCAAGTCTCTGTGCCCTCAGCCTGTTTTCTGAACTCTGTACTGCTCAAAAGTCCCTGGTTCCAAGGACTGCATGATATGACTTGACTGTGTGGGGTCAAGTCCCTGGGAACAGTTAGTGGCGGAGGCGCTGCCTGTTCCCTCCTTGTGCCAACTCGGCCACCCTGGATAGGTAAGTCATGTGACACAGAGAGGTGGTGGAATATCCTGCTCCCATTTCTGAAGGGCATGAGACCCCCACACAGCACTGGGTATGAAGGGCACAGGGGGGCCTCAGTTTCCTACACCTGTTACTGAGTCCCCCGCTAGGAACCAGGTGCTAGATTTACCCAGTCATGAGCCAGCACCCTGACTGAAGTCCCTGCATCAAGCCATCTGTCCTTCACAGACCTGGACCGGGCCCAGCACCATGAGGCCCACATGCAGCACTGCTGGAGAGGCGGGGCCTGTCACACACGCCTACTTGCTGACTGGCTGGAGGAAGCTACTCACCCACTCTGCAGCCCCCAGCCCTGGGAGAGAGGAACTCTTTGGAGAAGATCCCTTCTTCCTTCTCTCTTCCAGGCTGTCCAACACCTGTCCCTTCCTGCTCTTGGGGTGGCCTGGGCCAGTGTCCCTCATCCTCATGGGACCACCTATCTCTCTTTGATGATGGGGCTGAGAGGCAGGTACCCACTTCTGAGAGTCTGGGAGTGTGAGTTGAGGGAGCTGACATTGCCAAGCCCTTGGACTCCTTAGGCAGGAGGAAGGTAGACGGAGTCGAGCTGCAGAGAGCATGAGGTTTTGCAGCATTGGAGCCCTTCTGCCTCTATAGACTCCCGGAATGTCTCAGTTTTTTGAAGTGTATGATGGGGGAGGGAGTGCCCCCTCCCTTGGGAAGGTGGTGAAATGATGAGGTCTAGAGCATTGGGGTACAGGGGCCCTGAGGATCAGCATCCCCAAAGAGAGTGAGAGGTTCTTGACTGGGCCGCCCTCACAGCTGCCAAAGGGAGCAATGGAGCCCCCTGGGTGGGCCACAGGGGCAGAATCTCAGGGTTCTTCCAGGAGAACTCGCTATGAAATTAGCCCTACAGGTCTATCCCCTCCAGGTCTTGGAGAGAGAACCCCAGCCCAGGAGGCAGCACTGTCTGGACCCAGTTAGGTGTTTGGGAAAAGTCCACGGGGCTCCCCTGCCTGGCTGCTGGACAGATGTGTCCTTTTGCTGTCCTGAACTTCAGCAGAGGGAAACTACCACTCCCAGAAGCCTCCAGTCTCTCTCTACCTTTTCCTCAAGTTCTGCATCTATACGAGGCTCCCTATGCCAACGGGAATATATAGGCCAGTCTTCCCCAAACGCAAATGGACACTGGGGGCCAAACTTGCCTGACAGTCCCAAAGGGGCCTGGTGACCTGGATGAGCCACTCAGATCAAGGGGCTGAAGCAGGGGCAGGGCAGGCTGTGGCACCCTTCCCAGGGGCTATGGGCTAGCTTGGGGAGGGCTGGGAATGGAAAGAGTCACCTTCGTGCTGAGGACACTCATTTTAGAGACATGATGAATTCATTTAATATCTTCTCACTATGATGTTAATGGGCTCCAAAGTTCCACCCAAATGTCTGTTGCTGGCAGTTTAGCTCTCTGGCAGGCACTTTTGCTGGCAGAACTAACAGCTGGAAGCCTCCTTGAATGCGAACCCTTCATTGTTTTTTCCTCTCTCTTCAGAGCTTCCAGCGGCTGCCCTAGTCTGAGGCTGGGGCAGGGCTGTAACTGGCACCCATGCTCTGGTGCCCAGGGCCTGACTTTAAGGAAGGGAAGGTGAGTGGGGGGAGTAGGCTTGTCACCAGGTGAAGGCTCAGGCCAGAGCCCAGGGAAGGAAAGAGTCTAAGGAAGCTCGAGGTTGGCTGCCCAAGCCCCATCCGCAACGCTCTGGCTGGAATACCTTAGCTCTAAATGCACAAAGTTTACAGGCTCTGGGCTGTGTGGCCTCCTGGGAGCACTGACCACCTGGCTATAGAGCTCAGGAAACTCTGCCTTCTGTGTCTACCCTGGGTCAGTGTCAGAAGGCATGACCTGTCTAACTGTCACTCGGCTGGGCTGTGCTGTGCTTCAAGGGTCCTGGCGGGGCCCACACAGCTGCTGCCATCCTTTCTCAGGGCCTTTCCTTCCTTAGTCTCTGGCCTACACCTTGACAGCCCCAGGGGTGGCAGCCTGCAAGATCTTCGTGTGAATACTGACATTGCAGAGACCCAATGTGTGCTGCCATGCCCTTGCCAGTGGATGGCATGATGGCCTTTGCTGGGATGATAGACCATTTGGAGGCAGCTCCTCCTACGGTCTTGACCTCCCGTCCTCCACAGGAGCCCTGCACGCTCGCTTACTCCTGGCCTTGCATTCTTGCCCCTGGACTTGGCTCCATCCCTCCCCAGCGTCTGAGACCTTCACCTTTCTGCGCCTTTCCTAACCCTAGTCACACCATCTTCCAGCAAGACCCACTATAGTGGAAAATGACCGTCTTCTTGTCCAGCTTGGGCCTGGTGACAGGCCTCCAGCTTCTGAGATCTGACCTCTGATGGCGGCCATTCGACATTTAGATTCCTGCCTGGGGTCATAATATATACTGGTGAAAAGACCACCTGAGGTAAAGGTTTTCCTGTGTGCTCCCCTAACTTCTGCTGCAGAATCTCTTTCATTCCTAGATACTCTCATCATTACTCCCTTCTTTGGCTTAAGACATTGACAGCCTCCTGGTTAAAATATAAAATGCTTCCTGGGACAACTAGGACTTGAGTCAATCCATTTACAAATTATCTGGTTCTGTTTACACTCAGAGAGTGGCCTGGGTTGGATGGGCATAGCCTCTTCTTGGGGGGTGGGGGGGGCGCTGCTGAATGAGCAGGGGCCGAGCTGGGGCTCCATGGGGAGCAAGATGCAGGTGGGGAGGTTGGGGTGCCAGGCCCTCGTTAGGGCAGGAGGCAAAGAGGAACGCTGGGGCCTGTCCAGCCTCCTACTTTGTCAGGCTAGGCCACCTCTCTCCAGCCATCAAGTTACCTGGCAGCTAACATCTGTCCCTGCTTGGGGTGCCTCTGCTGCTGCTGCTGCTAGAAAGGCAGCCTTGGGTAGTGAAAGAGTACTGGAATGAGAGGCGGGCCAGAAACTGGCTCTGCCACCAGTTAGTTATGTGATCTCAGGACCCACTTGCTTTCCTTGAGCCTCTTCTTCCCTCTATACAATTATGGGAGCCAGATTAAACATTCTTAGGGGCTCCCTTTGGCTTGAATGTGCTACAGCAACCCAAGGCAGCCAGCTCCTTTCTGGGGCAGCCCTCTCCGCCTCTGCGTTTCTCTTCACCGACCCAGGACTGTACTCTGGGTGATCTAAGGAGGCTGCGGCATAACGGGTCCCCTGGCTCCCTCCACCCTCTGTGCCTACTTGCACAATTCCATGTGAAGCTTCACTGGAAGCTGAAAGAAAGAAAATGGAGGCTGGAGGCTCTAGGCCAGGAAGCTGAAGCTGAGAACCAGTCCTCCCGGTTTTAACCCTGCTGCTGCTGCAGCCTTCAGAAGCTGGGGCAGACAGTCTGGCAGCAGGGGCCTGGAGCAAGGTGACCGCTTCGATGCTATTTGCCCTGGGGTGAGCTGCTCTACTGGGATCAGAGACCAGAACAACACACCCACTGACCTGAGCTTTCTTGGACCCGCTTCTCTGAGCACCCAGAGGCCCCCTGTCCAGGTCCGAGGCAGCCTGAGTGTGCAGGAGAAGATAACCATGCCCCCACCCCCTTAGCCAGAAGCCCAGGGGCCCAAGGGTTTTGAGGCTTTGGCAAACCAGAGTCCAGTAGTAAGATGCCAGCATTTGCTGACCAAGGCAGCACTATGAGGGAGACAGGTCGCCACAGAGAGCCACAGGTGTACAAAAAAGGCCATTGTCCCTCTGTAAAGACTTGGATGTTTGCACTACCTGATGTGTCATAATGAGGCTTTATAGAAAATGCTGGGCAGAAAGGATGTCCCTTTGCTGGGGCTGAGGGAACCTGGTTTTCGCATGCTAATTCCCCCAGCATAGGAAAGTCTGTCATGTTCTGGGTTTGCCTTGTTCTTTTGGGTGGGTGAACAGAACCTGAGATGACCTTTTCTAAATTCATAGAACAGATAACTCTTTGGTAGGAAAAGCAAAACCTCTCGAGTCTGAGCCTTATGCTTCCTGGGCATTTCTAAGTCACCTGTCACAGTGGTCAAGAACATCACTATGGTCTCCAGTCTGGCCCCTCTGCACGAAGCACCTCCAAGTGTGTGCTTCAGATGGGGCTCATTAGTACACAGCTCTTCAAGGAACCAGAGCTACCATGTGAGAAGATTCCAGGCCCAAAGAGGAGTGGGATCAAGGCCAGACAGCCTCTTGATTCCTTCACTATGTACAGCCCATATTGAGCTCTCAAGACCTCAAACTCTGAACCCCAGAAAGAAAAGGAAACTCTTAATAGGCTCAGATCATTCCTTAAAGTACCTCAGTGGACAAACAAGCTATTTGGGGAAAAAATGGACCTGGTATTGCATTTCTTCCCAGCGTCATTGGGCATGGATCTGAAAGCTTTAGCTTTTCTTCAGGGCAGGGTTCTTCCAAAGCCACCTCCTCCATGAAGCCTTCTCTGATTCCCTTGAAGACCCACGTGAGGTCTCTCCCTTCTGGCACTTTGTTTCTCTAGCACGAATAATCATCACAATCATAATGTGTCCTTTGCTGAGCACTTATGTGCCGGCCATGCTGCTACGAGTGCTCACGCATGGGCTTATTGAATCCTCTCAACAACCCTGCCTCGTAGGTACTATAATTATCTCCGTTGGACAGGAGAGAAAATGGAGACCTAGAGAGATGAGGTAACTTATCTGAGGTCACCCAGTCAAGAAGAGACAGCCCTGGGCCTGACACTCACCTGGCTGACTCCTGCTATTAACCACCCACCATCCTGCCTCTTCCTGTACTTGTACATCTTCCTGAGCACTCATCTTTTGCCCATAACTGTAGAAGCTGTTTCTTCCTTTGTTTTTCATCTCAACTAATCTTTTTCTCATCCATCTTTATAAAGTTCTATGTTAAGAACCACTCCTGGTATTAGTCTAAGTTTATAAATTATCTGGACCGAATGGGTCATGGCTGACAATTTCAGTTATGAATTGGGGGCTCAGAGCAGGCAAAGGGACAACACCCCCTATTGCTGATCATGGCTCGGCAGCTCAGCTGGCTTCTGTCGGGGTTGCCCCACGCTCAGCTTTCCTTTCTACTCCTCTGTTGAAGGGCTTTGAGCTCCCAGGGCAATGGCTCTGTCCGCTTCATTTCTAGGCACTTTCCCTCACCCCATGTTCCTGTGACCAGGGTTTTGTATTTAGAAGTCAGGCAATTGCTGTTCCCTACCTGAACAGGGTGTCAATTGCCATCTCCAAGTGCTGCCTGGAGCCCCCATCTTGCCAAAAAAACCACAAGATCTCCTTTATCTCACACCTCGCACGTCTTGTCTTAGCCCTTAGTGGGCCCTAGGGCTGAGCTCAGAAGTGGCGGGCTTCCAGTCAGCCTGCTAACACTGCAGAAGGGCGAGCTTGGCTTCAGGAGGCTGAAAGTTCTTTCTGCCCCCAAAGCTTCCATTTTCCACGCTCTATTCCAGCCTGTTGGGTAGCCCACTTCTTTCCGCCAAGGCAGGTTCACAGAAGTGAACTGTCTTCTTGAGCCCTCACAGGGCAGGCTGCAGAATGCCTGTGGATGAGGTTTGCGAGCACCCTTCCTGCTGCCCAAGTCTTAGAAAGTGCTCCTGAATCCTGGACTTGCCCACTCCTGAAACCACGAGAAGGGCTCTGTTTCAAGCCACAGGACAGCTTCCCATGAGTCCGTCCTGCCTTCTGTGCCCAGGACAGAATGTGCTAGAGGCATCTCTGGGGCCGCTTGGGTAAAGAATGCAGTTTCTCAGCATCTTCACCTCCTCCCTGCCTGGCCCTCCACACAGAGGCCGGCACGTATAAGACAACCAGCATCTAGGGCCCTCCTTGAACCCTTTTAAAACTCCAGATAGCCTTTTTATCTCCTGCCCCCTATGTCCTGGCCTCTACCCTCTGCTCCTTTCTGGCCTTGCCAGCTGCCACCCTGCTGGCCTGCTGTTTGTCTGGTGCTCCATAGCCTCTGCCACTCTGAACCCAGCTGGGCAGCAGACACTGCTCAGCTCTGCACACCCTGGGGTCCCCCAGGCTTGGAGTCACCTTTTGCGAGGAGGCAGGAAATACCCCCACAGCTGGGTCATTTTCCTCATCCTGAAGCCAGGTATGGGAATTAATTGAGTGGAAGACACAACTGAGAGGGGTTCATCCCAGCTCTGGTCCCATGTGCCAGGGTAGGGGGCATTCCTGGTCATCCTTGGTAGTTGTGCACAGAGTGGGAGACTCTAGACCTGCCTGCACCTTCCCTGTGCCTGGCATGACCCAGAGAACTTAGCTCACAATGAATCAGTCTGTCCCTGGGGGACCGGAAGTTTTGTGCAGCCCCCACACTCCCACCTTGTGGCTACTCATTGGGCACAGAGCTTTCCACCCAAATCAGGTGCTTCCGGAAACCTTGCTCCTGGTGCCTAAGCCCTCCTGACTAGCCACCGTGTCACGAGGGATCCCAGGTCTGCCATTCCTGAGCTGCCTAGAGGACTCCTCGCTTGGCCCCAAGGCCTTATTCCCAGCTAGATGAGCTTCTGTGGGGTCTGGGGACCAGGCAGCCCAGAGCTCATCCTCAACACTTCGAACTCAGTTCCCACCAGAACCAGCTTAGGGAAAGACCCCAAGCAGGACCCTCCGAGCTTGGTGTGTAATGCCAGGGAAAGACTAAACTACGTTGTAGTAGTCTTGCTGCTTCTTGGTGGGGCCCCAGCATTTTATAGCCCTGAGCTCGCTGGGCCTGATGTCCCTGGAGCTGATCAGGCATTAACCCTGCGGAAGTGGGGAGCCCGAGGCCTGTAAGGAGGGGTAGTGCTCAGCCAGGCACCTCCTGAACCTAGCTTGCCACTGTGTCAGAGTTAGAATCTTGTGCCTGGTTAAGCTCTGCATGACTTGGAGCCTGGGTCCCAGCGATGCTCCATGAATATTTGCAGGGTGGGCACGAGACGGGGGGGAGGGTCAGGAGCAGCAGAAATAAGCATTTCTCCCTCTGGCTGGGTAGCCAGAGACCAGCTTGGACTGGGCTGTTTCAAAATCGATTTAGAAAAGGAGTGGCAGGCAGGTCAGGCGGGGCATGGGGCACCGTAGCCCAGGAACCCACAGCTGTGCCTTTGTCCTAGATGGCATGTGGCCTGGACACCTCAGCACCCCTCCCCCCCCCACCTCCGCCACCCGGGGAAGCCAGAGCCCACAGTGGTAGCAGGGACCTTACCGTAGCTGCTCCTCCGGGCAGCTGAGCCTCGAGCTCCCCACTGCAGGCCAGTGCTTGTCTCTAGCCCAGGAAGCACCACTCCCTTCAGGCAAAAAGGAAAAGAAAACCTCAATGCTTTTCTCACCGAGCCGCTTCTCCCTAAGGCTCCTGGTTGGTGTCCTCCTGCCTCTGTGGGCACATAGCCTCCTCCCTTCCCAGCTTACTCACCGGTGTGCCCATGACGCTGCCAGCCGTGTGGGGGAGGTGGGGGGCCCACGCCCCTCTGCCTGACACATTGGAGCATGCCACGTGGGGGCCAGGGGTTCGAGGACCTGACCTGAGTGCCAGGCCGAGTGGTGGCCCCTGGCTGGGTCCTGAGTATGGTGAAGCCGTGCCCTGGCCAGCACCCTTCTCAGGAAATGCACCCCTGTGAGCAGGGCAGAGAGCACACATAGATGCTGCCTGGCACTGCATGGAAGAGTGACAGAATTCCTTGGTAGGACGCTATCGCCTCAGGGCCCAGGGCTGTCAGAAGAGGGGCAGCCCATGTGCTGTCCAGCCCCTGGAGGGTTGGTTGGCTTCCACCCCTGGCCTGCCCCTTTGGACCACTCCCTATGTTGGCATCCTGCTGTGTCTCAGTCCTGTGGACTCAGAGAGGGCCTGGGCTTGTCTGAGCTGGCGCTTCCCCTCACCGGCGTGCTCAGGCCAGGTGCTTGGGGTCCCTTTTCCACAGCACCTGTCCCACAGCCTGGGCTGGCCCAGCATTAGGATGAACTGATGCCAAATCCCCCATCCCCATCTCTCTGCCGGACCACCCTGCTGTTTTCAGCAGGGGGACAACTCTCTCTCTCTCTCTCTCTCTCTCTCTCTCTCTCTCACACACACACACACACACACACACACACACACACACACACACACACACACACACGTGGGGCCACACCCAGCACAGAGCCACCTACCTGCCCAGGCCAGCCTAAGCCAATCCAGCTTTGCTCTCCAAATGCCACTCTGACCCTAGAAGCCACTCATTTACAGAAATAGCTTGTGGGAGGTGAGTTCAAAGCCAGCCCGGGAGGACTCCAGTCAGTGCAGACCAGATTCCTCTTCTCTCCCAACACCTCCAGAGGACACAGCAGCCCGATCACCATATCTGCTATTGCACTTTGTTGCCTGGCGTTTCTCCCTGGGCATCTCCGGCGCCCACAGCGGCTTCCATATCCTTAGGGGGTAGCAGCAGATTGTCAGCAGGTCCCATCTTCTTCGGATCCCAAGGTAGGGAGGGGAGAGCTAGAAGGGGCGGGGCTCAGGTGGAGCTCCAAGTTTCCAGCTCCCAAAATAATCAGATGCAAAACGGAAGGAAGAAACCTTCAGGCCAGGGGGTGACTCAGTGCCAGCGGGCCGGCTTAGTCACCTGGATGGCTGCTCCTGGCTTCTGGCACATCAGGGAGGGAGCAGTGCCCTTCCCCCACCTGCTGTCCTCAGCAGAGCTGTCAAAGGGAGCGTGGCCCAAGAGCCCCAGCTGGCCCGGGGCTGCCTGACAGGCGGCACCGGCAGGCTCCGGCCTCCTTCCTGGCCGCGGCACACCCCTCCTCCACAGCGCACCCCGGCTTACTTTGGGATTTCTCCATTAAATCCTCCGGCAGCGACCTGCTCCAACGTTGCTTGGCAATTTTGATATCGTCGAGGGTTGCCATGGGGAGGAGGGTGATGTCATTGACACACAAAAAAAACCCCACTGAATTTACAAATCAGCTGGGGCTGGAGCTATTTATAAAAACACATTTTTTCCCCCTGCCTTCTTTTTCTGAGGGGGGAGGGAGCAGAAAGGCTGCCTGCCTGGCTC